TTTTTTTTGTATTTTACTGTTATTCCCCTCCTCAAAAGTTTATTGAGATTTACTCACATATTGGTGGAGTATCTTCTGTATGCAAAGCACTGGCCTAATGCTGAGTCAGGGAAAGCTTTCTAAATACTTGTTTCTTTCTAAGGGTAACCAACCTGTATATGTGTGTGTGTGTGTGTGTGTGTGTGTGTAAAAAAAAGAGATGTAACATGCTAATAAAATGCTGTTTGCATTATCCACTACACCAATAAAATAAATATCTGAAGTCAAGTGTGTAAAGTTCCTGTTTTGGAATTAGATTTCTTATACAGGGAGAGTTCTGTTAATGCTGTGAATTATGGAGCTATTGAAATGGCCTTTAAAGGTCCTTTAAAATTATTTTAAAATTGTTTTTATATATTTTTTCTCTGCATCTGTCAATACATCTGGTCTATTCCATCCAAAGTGCAGTCAGTCATTCAAGTGATATTAGTTCCAAGGTCAAATGGTCAGATAGGTTATATATTTTGTTATTTGTATTTTACATTTGCAAAGTTCAGGTTTTGCAATCCAAGTAAGAGACTTCTTATTTTTCTTTACACAGAAGGCTAGACCATCTATAATTCAGGTAAACTGTTCTTTTTAAATTTACTTGTGTATTTTTCCAGCAGTGTTCTCTCTGGAATACTGTAATATTGCCAGTAATGTGTTTTATTCTAGGATGCTGTAACACTTTGTTCCTACCCTTTCATCTTTGATGCCCAAGCCAAGACGAAGATGTTACAGACTGATGCGGAGCTACAGATGCAGGTAGCATAGCCATAAAAATCATTTTCTCTTCTTACTCTGTTTCTTTCATCCTACACATACATTCAGTTGTTATTTTCCCTAATAAGAGAAAATACATTTGGGTGAAGGTCCATAACTTTTAGAACTGTTATAAATTTTTTCAGCAATTTTATGTTGAATATAACACAAATTATATGAATGTTGAAAAAATTCCTATTTACAAAAATCAGGGGTTACCATGCATTTTCATTAAGGACCACACTGAATATTTTCGGGTTTTTGGGCTATACAGTCTACCTCAGCTATTCAACTCTGTCGTAGCACAAAAAGTGGTGATAGGCAACATATAAAGTGAACAGGCATGGTGGTATTTTCTAGTAAAACCTCACACTGAAATTCGAATTTTATATAGTTCTCATGTGCGGTAAAATATTCTTTTGATATTTTTCTCCCAACCATTTACAAATGTAAGAACCGGTTTTAACTCAAGAGCTGTGTAAGAACAGGCAGGTTGGGTTTGGCCTGTGGGCCATTGTTTGCTGACTCCTGATAAAGAGATAAGAAAAATGGGGCTTGGTAATTCTTTACTGAATAAAAACTTTATAAGTTATAGAGATTTGTTTATTTTAAATACACATTTTTATTATAAAATATTGGTTTTGATAAGCACACAAAGACGTGTGAGTTAGCAATCTAAATCTGTCAGTTCCCACTTGATAATAACTTCATCTGTCTCTCTCTAGCTGTCTATGTATAACTATACATAGGTATGTATTCGCAGTGATATATCCATGATATTAACAATTTAAAGATTTTCCAGAGAAAATGGACATAACTATTTATTTAACAAGTGGTTATTAGGTTTATTTTCCTGCCATTTGGGAAGTCATGGTTTTTACCCACTTTCCATATGTTTCTTCTACTGTGATATCATTTCAGTCTTAATTAGCTGGCTTAAGTCATTTTCCTGGAACTGGTTGTGGATCAGGTGGTTCATAAACTTTCAGTTAATCTCTGAGTTCAGGTTAGAAAGATTTGAGTCTTTTGTAAACATGAGTAACTTAGAAAATCTACTAGAAAAGTGAAGAGGGAAATAAAAAAGACCAAAATGGAGATGCAGTCAGGCCGTTCCCCACCCAACCCAGCTCCAAAGGCACAGCAGGCTGCTGTCCCCCCTCATGGCGCGCTCTGAGTGATGCTTTTGGGTGTACCCTTCAGGTGGCGGTCAATGGAGCCAGCCTGCAGAACGTCTTCATGCTTCTCACCTTGGAGCCTCTGCTGGCCAGAAGCCCCTTCCTGGTCCTTCACGTTCGCAGGAACAACCTTGTTGGGGATGCCCTGAGAGAGCTGAGCATTCATTCTGATACTGATTTGAAAAAGCCTCTCAAAGTGAGCTCTTCAGTTTATTCCTCTAAATACCTTCCTCAGGTTTCTTTAAACAGTGTTGAAGCAGCAAAGATCTTATTAAAATTGTGGAGTGCAGCCACTTTCTTTCTTTCATTCATTTTACAAGAATTGAATCATCTCCTGTCAAATCATGAGACACCATCTCAACGTGGTAGATAAAAACACCTCTGGATTGCTTGAGGGAATCTAGGGCTTTCTTTGTCTGCTATTGTTGGTATACCTGCTCCAGCTTCGCCCAAAATAAGCAAACAACAGCAAAACTAAAGCTCCAGCTGGGTAAAACTATCAAGCCTCTAGGAAGTCTTGGATGACAAAGATTTAAGACACAAAGTGTGGAAAAGAAGAATGGAAAGGTAGTGAAATCATCTGGAAAGCTGTTGGCCTATTAGATGGGCACTCTTAGAGCCCTGAAATTATTAAATTAAGAAATCGTCTTTACTCATAGACAGTGTATGTTTGTGTTACTACTTACTGTATTCTCAGAGCTTAACACAATGCTTGGTACATAGTAGGTGTGTTCAAATAAATATTAATGAATTATTTGAAGTTGTTTTAAGTCATCTATATTTCCCTTCAGATGATTTCCATGTCTCTCTTTCCAATCTTGTTGTAAACTCCAGTGTCCAAAATTTGGCAGGCAAGAAGCTGATGGTCTCTATGCTACTATCACCCTTCCCAGAATGTCCAATAAGTAACATCAACCTCATCAATCTTTTTGGGAGTTCTTAGCACTTCTGGGTTATATTTTTGATTTTGCAAAGAGACAGAGCTCTCTTTGCCCTGTTTTCAACCTGTAATTCAGATGAGACAGTTTTTAATTTGTGGCATATCCAGGTTAACAGGTATCTGAATAATCAAAGTCCTAGTGTCTGTCCCCACCCTTTCTCATACTGTTTTAGGTAACCTTGAAAACAACTTTCTGTTTTCAGTGCTGTTTTTAGCTCTGAGCCTGAACCTTTACCTCTAAAATGGGGATGATGATAGTAATCCCTATGTATAAAGCTGTTCTGAGGATTAAAGAGTTTAAGTGCTGGCATGAAGCAAACTCTTAATAAACCTCTTGTTAGTTTGCTGTAGTTGTTACTGTGATGATGATCATGGGTCTAGGGCATCCCCTGTGTGTCTATTCCTAGCCCCCCATGGAGCCCATGTCTATGTCTGCTTAGAATCCCTCCTATCTTCCACATACATCAGTTACTTAAGAACCCCACTGAGAGAGCTTTCTTCCAGAAAGTGTTCTTTCACTCAAGTTAATCATTTCTTTTCTCTGTGTGCCAGAACATTTACCTCTCAGTGTATTTGACTGTTTGAAGATAAAGTATATTCTCTAATTGGTTCTTTTATGTTTACCTTAGTGCCCCAAATAGATGGTAAACTTTCTGTGGACATGTGGTAAACTGACTTCCTTTGTATCCCTTGACGTGCCTAGAAAATTTTGTCTGTCTCTAAATGCCTTGCTCATACTCAACAGATACATCTTGCAGTTTTAATTGCATCAGTGTATTCTCTGTTACATCTTCCTTCCTTTATCCTGACTTTGGAAAGAATTTGCTAAAAAAGATTAAATGCTAAAGATTTCCCTGATGTGTTAATTCTACTTTCATTATTTTCAGGTAATCTTTGATGGTGAAGAAGCAGTGGATGCTGGTGGGGTCACAAAGGAATTCTTTCTTTTACTGTTAAAAGAACTTTTGAATCCCATCTATGGAATGTTTACCTACTATCAGGATTCAAATCTTTTGTGGTTTTCTGATACGGTAAGTTAATGATGTTGCAATTAAACATGGATTGGATTAAACTTTTGTCAGATGGATCTGATCCATTAACTTCTGACTTTGCAGAGGGGAGCATAATAAAGATAATTTAAAATGTCTGAATAATGTATCTGGTCTTCATTTTTATCTGCTGCCAAGACCTCATAGTCTATTTTATCATATCATCAGCCCCTATTTCCCTTTCCAGTAGATAAGGTCCAAGTTTTGTTATCCTTGAAGGGGAGAAAGAACACAGTGTAATAAAGAAATTGGTTCTATGACATGTGGAAAATAGTTGTTAAATATGTCTTATTTTAATAACAAGTGATTTGTGTATTAATACTCATACAAATATACATAAACATTTTTAGTTTTGAAAATTCAGTAGTAGAGCTAGGTTTTAGATGGCATTCTAATTTCAACCAGACTAGAATTTAATTATTTTTCTACCAGAGTTTTCTCCCTCTATCTGCAGTGTCCTAAAAAGGTAGCCAATATTAGCCACAAGTGGCTATTGGAATTTAAATTTTATTTAACTAAAATTGATATTAAAGACCCATTTCCTCAGTTATACCAGCACATTTCAAGTGCTCAGTAGGTGTGTTAGATGGCTACAGTACAGGACAGCACAGAATAGAATGTTTCCATCACCACAGGAAGTTCTTTCGGACAGTGCTGCTATAGGTGATCGTATGCTGATCTGTGTATCACTAGACAACCCAAAGATACTCCACTTTGTCTACATTACATCTTTAGGGAGTAAATGAACATTTGTCAGGGTTTCTCTGCTTTAAGAAAGCAACTAAATATTACTGAGGTCTTTATTCTTTTATACTGAAAATATTTTGAGATAAATGGTAGAGTGTTTTGGGGGCTGCAGCTACCGACTTTATTTTAACACGTTTGCATACCTACTGAAAAGTGCTTTGTAGAACACAACTGGTTTCACCTGATTGGCATAACCTGTGGATTGGCTATCTACAACTCCACCGTGGTTGATATCCATTTCCCGTTGGCTCTCTACAAGAAGTTACTGAATGTAAAGCCTGGATTGGAAGACTTACAGGAGCTGTCACCCACTGAAGGAAGGTACAAAGCTCAGGGATAGGCAGATGGGTGTGAGACACTGCTCTGGCTGCCTCTGGCGTAAGGATTAAAGGTTGAAAATGCCACATGTGCAAGTTTGAGTTTATTGAGCCATATGATTAGACTGTCTTGTTTATGCTTTCTTTGTCTTAAGATGTGGATACATAGCTACTTGCTTGAAGCATTGCTGACTACTCTAAGGGTAAAGGGAAAAAAGAAAAGAGAGGTCATAGCTGCCCAGGAATATAAATAATCTCTGCTTTCTGTATCCTGAATAAAAAGTAAAGACTTGGTGACTTGTCATTGTCCAGAAATACAGAGGGAGGAAGTATTGAAAAGTGAGTCTTTTTTGAAACAGCTTGAGATGAATTCATAATCCTTATAATGCACCTACTTAAAATATACAATTCAGTGACTTCTGGTATATTCAGAGTTAGGCAGCCTTTACCATAATTTTAGAGTATTTTCATCACCTGAAAAAGAAACCTGTACATCCTTTGTCATCATCCTCAAAGCCATAGGCAACCACTAATCTTTCTGTCTGTACAGACTTGCCTATTCTGGATATTTTATAAAAGTGGAGGCATACAATATATGGTCTTTTGTATCTGGCTCTTTTCACATAGCATGTTTTCATGGTTCATCTGTGTTGTAACATGTTTCAGCATCTAATTTATTTTTATTGCCAAATAATGTTCCATTGTATGGATATAACACATTTTGTTTATCCATTTATTAGTTGATGGACATTTGGGTTGTTTCTACTTTTTGGCTATTATGGTGTTTCTACTATTTGGCTTATCAGTGCTGCTGTGGACAATATTATACAGGTGTCTGTGTGGACATAGTTGCCATTCTTCTTGGATATATACGTAGGAGTATAATTGGTGGGTTATGTGGTAGTTCTATGTTTAGCCTTTTGAGGAACTGTAAGACTGTTTTCCAAAGTAGTGGAGCCATGTTTTTATGTTATCCTCTTTCTGACTCTTAAAACTCCTTCTATTTTGAGTTACTCTGCATTGATTTTAGGTAGCATAAGATCAGGTTATAAAAAGATACCATATCACTGGCTTTGTGTAAACAGTATAATCCTTTCTATGGAGAAAGAGTACCAGTTTGAAGGTGGAGAAAAAGGAAGGGCAGTTTCTAGAGAAAAGACTGCCACATGGCCAGCCTGGATCCCAATACTGAGAAACCATATAGAATGGGAGGGGTGGGGATACAGAGAGAGGAAGAGAAAATTTAGAAAGAGTATTAAAAAATAGCAGAAGAAACCCTGGTAGGGTAAATTTTTTGTAAGTGTAAGTGAAGACTGGAGAGTGACAGAAGTTTGTACTGTTTACCTTGCTAGACTGGCTGAGAATGATTTATTTCAAGTAATGACTTTGCCTAGTTAACTTGTAGTGGATTTAAATTCCACATTAGGAATTTTCATTATGGGCAACTCTTGATGGAACTGACAGAGTTGGTAGAAGTCACTACAGAAGAAAGTGTGAATGAAGTCTACTTAGAAGAATGTGTTCTCTTGAGAGCTAGGTTATGACCATTATTGTCATAAACATATTCTTTTTTAAGAGTACATATTTCAGTGTTACTTAGTATGATAAATATAGAGCCCCTTGGATCAACTAGTAAGCCAGTAAGATTCCTATGTGGATGAGATGACTATGTGGCTTTTCTTTGGTGGAAGGATTATTCTAATTCATATGGATAAAGACAGTCTGTAGGGCCACTGCAGTACCTTCTTCTCATATATCTACTTCCAAGTAATACTGATCTTAAAAAAACACAAGTGTGACAGATACAAATCCATCTGAATTTCTTCATTAATCTAGCAAGTAAATCTATAAATCCTATGGACTGATTTGTCAGTAGGAAAAGAAAACAATATCTTATAGGTCTGCCATTATTTCATTTCAAGGTATAGGTAACGTAATTTTCTGTCCACCTGGATTTATGTTCATTCTAAAATATTCTTTTATAGTTTTTCTGTATGAACAATCTGGAGATGTGATTAAGGTAGAAACACTATTGCAATGTCTGATTGCCTCTTGTCTTTTCTCCATCATTCTATGATTAGGAGTCTTCAAGAACTTTTAGATTACCCTGGGGAAGATATTGAGGAGACTTTCTGCCTCAATTTCATGGTAAGGATTTCCACAGTTTGCTTATGACTATGACTGCCTTTTTCATTATGCTTACAAGCCATAATTAACATTAAGCTTTTCTCCAAACCAAGGAACAAATTCAGGGACATCTCTAAACCAAATTATTTTAGTTACAGTGTCTTGAGTATTACAGGAGTTCAGTAAATATGTTGAATAAATGAATGATCTAGTACTTAGAAAATTACTATGTACTAAGAAAATTACTGAAGCATTAATCTTTTTCACTCTTTTTTTATTGAAATATAGTTGATAGACAATCTTATATTGGTTGCAAATATACAGCACAGTGGTTCAACAGTTATTCATATTATTAAATCCTCACCCCTACCAGTGAGGTTACTATCTGTCACATAGGAAGAAGTTACGGAATCATTGGCTATATTCTCCATGATGTACTGCCATCCTTGTGACCAGCTTATATTATGATTGATATAACATCAATCCTCCCTTTATCCCCTCCATCCTTCCCACCCACCCCACCCCTTCTTAGCCCCTCTTTCATGGTAACCAGCAGCCACTTCTTAGTGTCTGTGAGTCTACTGTTTTTTTGTTTATTTTTTCTTGTTTTTCACAAATCATTGAAATCGCATGGTATTTGTCTTTCTCCACTTGGCTTATTTCACTTAGCTTAATACCCTCTGGGTCCATCCATGTTGTCACAAACAGCAGAGTTTCTTTCTTTTTATGGCTGAATAATACTCCACTGTGTATATGTACCACATCTTCATCCATTCATCTGTTGGCGGACATTTAGGTTGCTTCCATATCTTGGCTATTGTAAATAATGCGGTGATAAACAGGGGTGTAATTTATCTTTTCACATCAGGAATTTTGTTTTCTTTGGGTAAATTCTAGAAGTGGAATTACTGGGCTGAATGGTATTTCTATTTTTAGTTTTTTGAGGAACCTCCATCTGCTTTGCACAGTGGCTGCACCAACTGACATTCTCACGAACAGTGTAGGAGGAGGGTTCCCCTTTCTCCACATCCTCGCCAACACTTGTCATTTCTTGTCTTTTGGAAAGTGTTCATTCTAACTGGTGTTAGGTGATATCTCACTGTGGTTTTGATTTGTATTTCCCTGATGATTAGTGATGTGGAACACCTTTCCATGTACCTGTTGGCCATCTGTATATCTTCTTTGGAGAAATGTCTGTTCAGGTCCTCTGCCCATTTTTTAATTGGGTTATTTGGTTTTTTTTTTTTGGTGTTGAGATATGTAAGTTCTTTATATATTTTGAATGTTAATCCCTTATTGGATAAATAATTTACAAATATATACTCCCATTCTGTAGGATGACTTTTTGTTCTGCTGATGGTGTCCTTTGCTGAACAGAAGCTTTTTAGTTTGATGTAGTCCCACTTGTTCATTTTGTACTTCCTTTGCCTGAGGGGATGTGTCCAGGAAAAAGTTGCTCATGCTTATGTTCAGGAGATTTTTGTCTATGTTTTCTTATAAGAGTTTTTATGGTTTTATGTTGAACATTTAGGCCTTTAATCCATTTTGAGTTTGCTTTTGTGTGTGGAGTTAGACAATAATCCAGTTTCATTCTCTTACATGTAGTTGTCCAGTTTTCCCAATATGAGTTATTGAAAAGGCTGTCATTTCCCCATTGTCTATCCATGGCTCCTTTTTCATATCTTAATTGACCATATATATGTGGGTTTATATCTGTGCTCTCTATTGTGTTCCATTGATCTATGGGTCTGTTTTTGTGCCAGTGCCATACTGTTTTGATATCCATAGCTTTGTAGTTAGCTTAAAGTCAGAGAGCATAATCCCCCAGCTTTGTTATTCTTTCTCAGGATTGCTTTGGCTATTCAGGGTCTTTTGTGGTTCCATATGAATTTCAGGATTATTTGCTGTAGTTCATTGAAAAATGTCACTGGTATTTTGATAGCAGTTGTATTGAATCTGTAAATTGCTTTGAGCAGGATGACCATTTTGACAATATTGATTTTTCTTATCCTAATATTTGACTATTAACTTTTCCATGGGATAGATTTCCATTTATCTGTGTCTTCTTTAATTTCTCTCATGAGTGTCTCATAGTTTTCAAGAGTATAGGTCTTTCACCTCCTTGGTTAGGTTTATTCCTAGGTATTTTATTTTTTTTGATGCAGTTGTAAATGGAATTGTTCCCATGATTTCTCTTTCTGCTATTTTGTTGTTAGTATATAGGAATGCAACAGATTTCTGTGTGTTAATTTTGTATCCTGCAACTTTGCTGATCCAGTTATTAGTTCTAATAGTTTTTTTTTAGAGGAGTCTTTAGGGTTTTCTATGTATAAAATGTCATCTGTGAATAGTGATAGTTTAACTTCTTCCTTACCAGTTTGGATGCCTTTTATTTCTTTGTGTTGTCTGATTGCTGTGGCTAGGACCACCAGTGCTATGTTGAATAAAAGTGGGGAGAGTGGGCATCCTTGTCTTGTTCCTGATGTTAGAGGAAAACTTTTCAGCTTTTTGCCATTGAGTATGATATTAGCTGTTAGTAGTCTTCTTTACCCCTGATACATGTATTTATTTTCCAGAGATCATAACATTTTTCTCTTTGATTGCATTTGTTGACAACTCAGTGTCTTAAAAGATATCTTTAAAAAAAGGTTCTGGTGTTTTCAGGTTCTCTTTCTTCTCCTGGAAATTTTCTGTGGTAATAAGTAGTCATTAAGCTACATTTATTCGTAAAGCTTCTCGCAGTCATTTGGGCTCTAGAAAGATAAGTGGTAAACAAAATTGGAATGTCTCTTTTTTCTTCCTTGAATACAGATTTGTCGAGAAAGCTATGGGGTGATTGAACAGAAGAAGCTGATACCTGGGGGAGACAAAGTGACTGTGTGCAAGGAAAACAGGTTAGTCCTGTCCTCAGACTGTTGCAGATATTGCTGCCTTAGTTCTCTGCACTTTTACTTTTAAGATCAAGCTTGAAGTTAAATTTTAGTCCCTCCCAAGAAGATGTAAGGATGATACAGCAAGAATTTATAGGTTTTAACAGATTTTTCATACTCGAAGAAGTACCAGACCTAGATTCAGGAGATAACTGTTTTAGTCCTAGATCTCCATTGTAATGGCCTTTTTTCCCTTGTCTCTTTTTTTAATTGGAATAAAGTTGATATACAATATTGGTTTCAGGTGTACAAAATAGTGACTTGATAGCTATGTACATTACTAGATGTTTGCCATGATAAGTATAGTTCCCCTCTTACCATACCAAGATGTTACAATATTATTGGTTATATCCTCTATATTGTTCTCCCATTCCTATTACTAACTTGTTGTACATTTTGTAGTTTGTACCTCTTTATTCCCTTCACCTATTTTAACCATCCTACCATGCCCTCCCTATGGTAACCAACAGTCTGTTGTCTATATTTATGAATCTATTTCTCTTTATTTGTTTGTTTTTTAGTTTCCACATATAAGTGAAATCATATGGTATTTGTTTTTCTCTGCCTGGATTATTTCACTCAGCATAATACCCTCGAGGTCCATCCATGTTGTCACAAATGGCAAGATTTCCTTTTTATGACTGAATAATATTCCATTGTATATATGTACCACCTCTTTATCCATTCATCTATTGATGGGCACTTGGGTTGCTTCTATATCCTTTCTATTGTGAATAATGCTGCAGTGAACATAGGGGTGCATCTGTCTTTTGGAATTAGTGATTTTGTTTTCTTCAGGTAAATTCCCAAAAGTGGAATTGCTGGGTCATACAGTATTTTCTATTTTTAGTTTTTTGAGGAATTTCTGTATTGTTTTCCACTGTGGCTCGACCGATTTACATTCCCACCAACAGTGTGGGAGGGTTCCCTTTTCTCCACATCCTTGTCAACACTTGCTGTTTCTTATCTTATTGATCCTAGCCATTTTGACTGATGTGAGGTGATATCTTACTGCGGTTTTCATTTTCATTTCCCTGATGATTTTGACATTGTGTATTGTTTCATGTGTTGCTGGGCACGTCTTTTTTTTGGAAAGATGTCTATTCAGGTCCTCTACCCATTTTTTAATTAGATTTTTTGTTTTGTTTTGAATTGTAAGAGTTCTTTATATATTTTGGATATTAGGCCCTTATTGAATATATCATTTACAAATATATTCTTCCATATGGTAGGTTGCCTTTATGTTCTTTTGAGGGTTTCCTTCACTGTGCAGAAGCTTTTTAGTTTAATGTAGTCCCATTTTTTATTTTTCATTTTGTTTCCCTTGCCCATAGAGATGTAGCCATAAAAAAATTTCTCAAACGTTGATGTTCATGAGATTCTTGCCTATGTTTTCTTCTTAGAGTTGTATGGTTTCATGTCTTACATGTCTCTTCAGTCTGTACAGAGTTTACTTTTGTATGTGGTATAAGATTCCATATTACTTCTTTGATCTTGAGCAAATCACGTAATCTGTTTGATCTCAGTTTCTCATCTGTCAAATGAGGGTTTTGAGAACTGCCCTGCCTACCTGATGTGAGGGATATGAGAATAACGTGAGATATTTATAGGAAAACATTTTGGAATGAATGAATTCCCAGCATGTCCCACAGGGTTTTTAGTATCCATCAGAGTTCCTTACACAGAAATGCTCAGAAAATGTGTGTTGAATAAATGAACATTATAAAGATGCTTACTATTACTGTTGTTTTACTGCTGAAGAATTTGTAATATCGGTTTTAGATTAAGTTATTCCCTCTGCCTCATGAAAATTCAAGTACATTGTTTTCTCAGGGTGATTCACAATCTGTGTTATCTCTTTAGAAGAGATAAAAAGTTAAATTTTGTTCACTTTGGTATTAAATTATGAGTGAGGTTACCAGCCATCTGCATATTCAGTTTGCAAACAGTGAGTGTCTACTCTGTGCAAGACTTGTTGCTGGGTATAGGAAATAAATAACTCCTTGAGAAGCTTAAGCTTAGCTGGGAAGGGTCGGTATAAGTAAATGATTGCAGTAGATTATGGGGTGTGTGATAGTAGAGTTATAGGCTGAATGTCATGGAACAGGGGTGGGGGAGAGCTACACTTTTACCAGATACTGAAGAATGCAGGCAGGGAGAACACATTTTAGGCACCAAGGGATAATGTGAGTCAGGACTTTCAAATCTGATGCATGGCAGAGAATGATGAGGATGTGTGTGGTAGGGGATAGGTGCTATTACATCGGGTGGAAGTTGTCAAGGCTTTGGATCAGGACATAGTTGATCTGTGTTTTAGAAAGAGAATTCTTTTGACCACATGGAAATAGACCACTTGTGGTGGGATTCACTAGGAGGCTGTTGACAGAGCTCAGGTAGGGGGTGATGAGGGCCAGAATGAAGTAGGTGGACTTACCACACTGGCTGTGCATTGTTATACCACAGGTGCTACTGTCTGGTTATATACAGATGGTGTGAGAGAGGTGTATGTATTGGTAAAACACTGTGGTTTCTAATTTGGACACCTGACTAACAAGAAACAGAATCTGTAGAGTTGTGGAGGACAAAGGAGAATTCCATTTGGATATGTTTATTTTGACATGACTCTGTGAAATCCAAGAGATTATGTTTAGAGCTGGAAAGTTTCCGTGTTTATCTAAAGAGAGGAGTCTTACATGAATATTTTGTTTAGTTACTTAAGCCAGCCTTAGTCACCAGTGAATTTAAGATGGCCTGCAAAAAAGAAAGAAGTGGTGAAATAAGAAACACAGGATGGAATAATGCACATTATCAGAGAAGCTGTATAAATTAGAATACAAGGCAGACTCACGAGATGAGGTTTAGAGATCATTACACATCAGCTAGAGTTAAAGCTTCTTGCGGTAAAGACGAGGAGAGGGTGGGGAAAGATGAGAGACTGTGGTCTCTATTTGGGAAGGTTTGGGGGGAGGAAAGCCAGGTTTCACTTCAGCTAGAGAAAAGTTACAGATGTAGAGAAGTTGGATGCTGTTTGTAAGCCTGATGGGAAGTTAAAACTATTCACCTTGGGCTTTAGTTGGCTTTTTACTACAAATAGTTGCGAGGTTGCAAGCAGAGGTCCTATGAAATTCATTTTAAGTGACGTGATCTTGGCTTCTTCCCAGAAATCTTCCCTTTTGAAAATAGGAACAATGGCAAAACTGACAGACCTCATCTCCCATCCTTTTACATTTTAAAGACACCTAGGAGCCAAATGTGGTCTAATGTAACATTCAGTAACCATTGTTGTCACATAAACCTTCCAGGCTATCCAGGGAGCCCCAGCTTTAGGGAAAGTGTGAGCTGTAATACCAAAGTTTAGTGAAATGATAGAGAAGTCTTCAAGTACCCAACAAAAATGGCTTCACATGATTAAATTATCTTGGCTCTAGGAACGTGATACAGAGTCTAGTCTTTTGTCAAGTAGGTGTTTCAGTCAAAACCTCTTGGGGCTTAAAGTACTGTCCTTTTTTAATATGGGTACTTTTATTAATAGCAAATTATTAATGCAAACAGGTGTGTTTTTCTGTATAGTCTGATGTTTTTAGAGTTGGGAAATTTATGGCCAATTATAAAGGGGACTTTTTGGCCCAGATGATTTCCCTTTTAGTTTTGATGATCAGTTTATAACATATATGTGTGTGGGCACATATGTGTAGATACATATACAACCTTTTGTTTCTCAAAGGATGTCTGAGCTTTTGTATCAGGTTTCAGATGAGGTAGTGTGTGCATCATTGGTTAGAAGCTAACAGTGGGCTAAGCATGTGGCTTGAGGAAGAGAACATTCAGGATGAGTCTTAGAAACACTGTGTGTGTTTGATACACTGGGTTGGGGCAAGAGTGATCTAATGCAGACACAAGCATTTGTGATGCAGTCTGCTGGCCAGCAGTTGTTGGCACTTGTAACTCTCTTATCTTTATAAAATTATTTCTCTGAGTATTTTTTATCTGCCTTTCTATGTTTCCTATCTCTGGGTTTGAGTTTCTGTCTCTCTACTTCTTTATTTTTTTGCATGAATAAAGGTCTTTTTTTTAAAAATTAAGGTATTATTGATATACTCTCTTACAAATATTTCACATGAAAAATAATGTGGTTACTACATTCACCCATATTATTAAGTCCCAACCCACACCCCATTACAGTCACTGTCCATCAGTGTAGTAAGATGCCACAGAGTCCCTATTTGCCTTCTCTGTGCTACACTGTCTTCCCTGTGACCCCCACACCATGTGTATAAACATAAAACCCTTCAATCCCTTTCTCCCTCCCTCCCACCTGCCCTCCCACACTCCTCCCTTTGGTAACTGGTAGTTCCTTCTTGGAGGATGTGAGTCTGCTGCTATTTTGTTCCTTCAGTTTTGCTTCGTTGTTATACTCTAGAAATGAGGGAAATCATTTGGCACTTGTCTTTCTCTGACTGACTTATTTCACTGAGCATAATATCCTCCAGCTCCATTCATGTTGTTGCAAATGGTAGGGTTTGTTTATTTATTATGGCTGAATAATATTCCATTGTGTATATGTACCACATCTTCTTTATCCATTTATTTACTGATGGACACTTAGGTTGCTTTCATATCTTGGCAATTGTAAATAGCACTGCAATAAACATAGGGGTGCATATGTCTTTTTGAATCTGAGAACTTGTATTCTTAGGGTAAATTCCTAGGAGTGGGATTTCCAGGTCAAATGGTATTTCTATTTTTAGTTTTTTAAGGAATCTCCATATTGCTTTCCACAATGGTTGAACTAGCTTACATTCCCACCAGCAGTATAGGAGGGTTCCCCTTTCTCTGTATCCTCACCAGTATTTGTTGTTCTTAGTCTTTTTGATGCCATCCTTACTGGTGTGAGGTGATACCTCATTGTGGTTTTAATTTGCATTTCCCTGATGATTAGTGATGTGGAGCATCTTTTCATGTGT